GGGGTTCACACCCCAAAATAAAAGCAGGAGCAGGACTGGATGGTCCACAGGCCCAGAGTGGGACCTAGACAGAGAATGACAATAGAGGGGCCCAGAAGCCTAGGCAAGGAGCAGAAGGGTCCAGAGGCCCAGCAAGGGGCTGAGGATGAGTGGGACCAGGGGGTCCAGCAGCCCAGCAAGGGACCAGGGAAGAGTGGGACTGGTCCCCTAGCAAGGGGCCAGGAATAGTGAGGCCCAGTGAGAGGCCATGTGAGGGACCAATGGGTCTGGCAGCCCAGAGAGGGGTCAAGAATGAGACTAAGGGCCTGGCAGCCCAGAGAAGTGATGACTGAGAGGCCAAGAGGTCTGAGGACCCAGGAATGGGCCAAGTGAGGGACCAAGGGATCTGGCAGCCCAGAGAGTGGCTGAGTCAGGGACTGAGGGGCCAGGAGACTTGAGTGGGGCTGAGAGAGAGACTGTGCAGTCTGAAGGCCCAGAAGAGCGTTGTGTGAGAGACCAAGGGTTTGGGGGCCCAGCAGAGGGCTGTGAGAGTGTAGACATGTGACAGAAAGAACATCCACAACGATGGCATCTGCGAGGCATGGGGCATGGTGTAGGTGTGGTACAGAGCCAAGCAATTATCCCATGAGGCAAAGGACCACAGTCACCAGGTAGTCATTAGAGCAAGACCAGGTCTGGAAAGCCATGGGGCAGCCTCCCTTTTGTAACCATAAAAGACATCAAGGCATGGCAGGAAAGTGAAGGGGACACTGTTCCCAGAGCAAGCAGGGCAAAATGGGAACGGTTTTGGACCTCCAGGGGCTTAAAACCACCCCTGGGGATGCCACCCTGCTCCAGAGCCTTCAGCATTTAGATGTTCAAACTTTCCTCTGCAACTGTGAATGCTAGAATGCTTGGTTTTTCAAAAAGGCATGCAAGCTCAAATCACCCGATTCCCAGGGCTGGAGTTTAAGTAAAGCATCAAATATTATGAAACTTCCAATAAAACTGTGGGAGTTGGCAATACTGCCAGGTTTGGGAGATTAAATGTGGCTTTCGACTGTACTGAAAATGAAACATTGTCTTTAAGAAAATTGAGTCAAATTCCTCAAGGATATTAGAATCAAAACTGAGATGTGGGACCTTTGTAATGTAGCACTAGCTGTAAATTTAGGAGTGTTTTGTTCTTTGAAACCTCTCTTCAAGATGGATCTCTATAAAAGATTGGATCTAGTAAATTTGAATTCTGATGCCTGAAAGAAACTTTGCCAGTTTTAGCAATCTGGATAACACTTGTTCAAAAGGCAATGCATATTTAAAGATTATACTTTTTCTTTAAGAGGAAAAACAAGTGCGGGATTTTATTAAACATGGTACCACTTGCAGGGTGCTAGTAATGACTGTTAGACATAGAAACTACAGTATTGATAAATTTTCCGAAATGACTACATGATTTAGGAGCTAAGGTCCTTTGGAACTTAGACTTTGGAACCAGTTAGGTATATTTGAAAAATGCATCTGTGCCCGCCACTGTTCCAAAAGGCGTTCTCGGGCTGCTTTGGCTCGGGTGGCTGACTGGGTCTGCCCTGGTCCTGCGGGCGGCCCCCAGAGGGTGCCCTGGGCGACGGTGGCAGACCCCCAAAACTCGCCAGCCACGACCTTATCTGGACCCTCAGTGGTGGGGGTCCCCCC